TTCCTGCTGTGGAACGTGGGTGAAATGTTATGCTAGTCACACGGAGAAGGAAGGAATCATTCAGACAAGCTGCGCAGCTTGTCTAATGGTATAGCTTTGCCTGAGCCTCGAGCTGAGACTCAAAGGGCAAACCTGGGGGCAGGGTGCCAGCACGCAAATAGCCACCTTAATATGCTGAGCATTTCCACAATGAAGCTGGTGGCTGCTCTTTCTGCAGGTCATGTGAGCTTGGTGGGGTGCGTCCAACTGCAGCTTCTGTCTCGGCAGGCAGAGGAGGGCTGCCAGCTCTTTTGGGCTGCACACAGCCCATCTGAAGATGGTGGCAGCCGTGCGTAGCTGAGCTGCACTGACTGCAGCTGTGTGAACTGCAGGCTCCGCTTGCATGGGAACAGCTTGCTCAGCACGTAGCATGTTTTTCTACAGAGTCAAGCACTAGGCTTCCCATGCAGGGAGCCTTCAGCCTAGACTTGTCCAGGGTGGTAGGCGGGGAACTTCCCCTAAGAGGAGGAGGAAATGATGGCGTCATCTGACAGCTCATAGTGTGTGGCTCAGCTGTTCAGCAGCTTTGGAGAAATGGGGTTTTCCTAGGGATGTGACTTAGCCAGCAGATTTCTCACCGCTGTATGTGCCAGCTTTTCACTTGCCTCTCTGGTTCCAGCCCCACCTGATGAGTCAGGACCTCTCTGATGACTGGGACAAGCAGCCTGTCAAGGTCTTGGTTGGGAAGAACTTTGAAGAAGTTGCTTTTGATGAGAAGAAGAATGTGTTTGTGGAGTTCTGTGAGTATCTTGAGTGCTCCCACCGGGACAAGTGGGAGAGGGAGGAGGCACCTTTCCACAGATGCCAGGTGACTAGGGAGGAAGAACCTTCTCTAGGGCTTGGCTCAGACCAGCATGTGCAGCATGTGACATGTCTGCTCAGTGCTCTCCAGGCTCATGCCTGTTTCTGATGTGCAGATGCTCCCTGGTGTGGTCACTGCAAGCAGCTGGCTCCCATCTGGGACAAGCTGGGTGAGACCTACAAAGACCATGAGAATGTTGTCATTGCCAAGATGGACTCAACAGCCAACGAAGTGGAAGCAGTGAAAATCCACAGCTTCCCCACACTCAAGTTCTTCCCTGCAGGCTCTGGCAGAAACGTAAGCAAGCTACTGAGCTACAGTGCACAGCATGTGGCTCCTAACTAGGCGAGCAAGGCGCTTCAGGAGCCTCGCGGTGACGTGGTGGGAGGGCGCTGAGAGCCTAAGATGGGTCGGTGTGAAGTCTGGAAGGAGTGGGGGACTCAGGCACATAGCAGGACGGTGCACTCACCGGTGGGCTGTTCTCTTCTCGCAGCGATCTCAGGAGTCTAGTGGCTGAGCTGGGCTCTCTCTTGGTCTCCTATGGGCGAAGGTGAATGTTTAAACTCCCTCTTGCTTGGCATGTCCAACTGCTGCTCAGAAAGGGAACTCCCTGCTCCCAGGCCCCAGCGCTCCAGCCGGGCGTGACGGACCTCTCTGGCTTTGCCTGCAGGTGATAGACTACAACGGGGAACGGACGTTGGAAGGCTTCCAGAAGTTCCTGGAGAGCGGAGGCCAGGACGGTGCTGCAGATGATGTGAGTGACCACTTGGGCCTGTGTCGGAATCCCTTCCTTTGGGGAGGTCCTGACTGCTGAAGATGCCTCTGGCTGTCGTCTTAGCACAGCGAATGCTGTGGGGCTGTGGCTGCAGTGTAAACTACCCCTGCTGGGGCAGCCGGCCTGAGTAGGGGGGCGGGGGGTGTTTGAATGGCCAGGGTGCCCTGCTGCTCGGAGCTTTGGGGCTGCAGCAGGCTGTGGGGCAGGGACTGGGTAAACCCCCATCTGTGGGTGGTGGAAACGCAAGCAAGTGGAAACTGCTGAGATTGGTACCGGAAAAATGAGCTGTGCACAGAGTTCAGTCTCCGGTAATCAGGGTGGGGGCCTTGGCTGTTTAGTGGTTGCATTAAGATCCTGTTTGCAATACGTGGGAACACGAGTGGCACTGTTAGTTGCAGTCGCTGGGTGCAGCTCCTGCCTTCGGGGTGGTCATCAGTGCAGCCACTGGCAGCTGGGAGCTTGCTGAGCTCTGCAGCAGTAAGCCCCTGGGCTTCGCTTGTCTCATGCAGGTTGGCTGGAGGGGCTGCTCCAGATACCTCAGCTTGGCAGAGTCCTATCTATATTGCCTGACCAGAGCCCACAACTGGGTATAACCCCTTGTCTTTAAATGCAGGATCTGGAGGATGTAGAAGCTGATGAAGAGGCAGATATTGAAGAAGATGAGGAAGAGGACCAGAAAACCCACAAGGACGAGCTGTAACGAGGAGAGTAACCTGCCTAACCCCAGCAGACACTACACTGGCTGCTCTGCCAGTGGCCAGGCCAGGCCAGAAACCCATCAAGATTTAAAAATGGAAGGCGAGTGACTGGAAACACAGGAATTGGTTTAACATACCCTTTGCCCTTCCCTTGTCTGCTCGCTCTCTACTGTCTCTCCCCCTCCCTCTCTGGTTCTGGAAAGGGATTTGTCCTTAGGTAGCAGCCCAGGCGCCTGGGCCTCTTTCTTCTGTCATTGTAATGTACTTCCTGTACATGGGTTTTGTTCCACATATGTTGTTGCTCTGGGTAGAAGCGGGTTGTGGGAGTGGCAGTACTGTCTCATCCCCTTATTTGGAGCCTTGCCAGTAACCTCCCCCAGGGAGGTTTTTCTCTTTCCAACCTGAAGTTCATAGTTGTCAACCCAGCAGGGCCCTGACCACTGTCACAGCTGGGCTTTGTCACTTTTGTGTGTGTGCGTGTGGGACCACCGAGCTAGCAGGCCTCCTAATGCGGGGGGAGTTTCCTCACTGTTGGGGCTAGCGAGGCAGCCCCACTTGCTTTCCAAGACCCAAAGGACTAGTCCCAGCGTGGTAAGGGCAGGCATGGGCTGGGGCAAGCCCGGGGAGCGAAGACCCCACCGCAGGCTCGCTTGCTTAGATGAGACTCAGCAGAGTCATCTCCTTGCTGCTCAATCACTTTCTGTGCATTATTTTGTGGGGTGACGAGGCAGGCGGGGATGGAATGCAACCAGGACACTTAGCAAGGGGGTGGGTAGGGGGCAGGGCGGGGACCAGGGGCTAGGGGGTGTTGTGAAGGCCCCTGCGGAGCTGGGCTCATTCTGAGCATTCCACCACAGGAGCATTGAGCTGAACTTGGCCAAATAAAATTGAGATTTTAATACTAGCCTGTGTCTGCTTTTGTCTGAGTCTACCGTGGCCCTAGCATCAGGCCTTGATTCCTGTTGGAACTGGGACCAGGGGCCTTCTAGTTCAAGTGCTGTCGCCTGCTTACTGCACAGGAGCTCTGCAGCCTGCCGAAGCAGAGGAGCTTGGATGTGGCCAGGGGCTGTGCGCTCCCAATTGGGGGGAGAGGTCAGGGTTCAAGTCCCTTTGTCTTGCTTCCCTCTGCTCTACCATGAAGGCACTTGACCCCTGCTGGGTGCTGGCCCTACCCCTAGTACAGGCTCTTGGAGGCAAGTGACAACAGCAGACCTAGAAGGCGGCTCATAAAGTTGCTGCTGGTGCTTCCCCAACAACAACCAGTACCTCCGCCCTGTTCTTTGCAGAGCGGGCTGGGGGCGGTGCTGCCTCCCTCCCAGGGAGCAGCAGGACCCTGGCTCCCGGTAGGTGATGGCACAAGCAGCAGAAAGGCTACTGTGGCTGCACTGCCCCAGACCGGAGCAAGGTGGTAAGCTCCTGCTGGCCTCAGGCTGGGCTCTGGGATGAGCTGGTTGGGAGCAACAGGCACTGCCAGAACAGAGCTGGAAGTTCATTTCTGCTGCAGCTGCCCCCTTGTCCCCTGGTCTCACCTTGGGCACATCCATTGATGACAACATGGATGGGGGGAGGACTTGGAGAAACTGCCAGGATTTGTGTGCTCCCTCCATGCCTCAGTTCCTTGGTCTATACAGGTGTATATCAGCCTTGCTTTGAAGGCAAGGGGCCACCCACCCTTAGGCCTTATTTCCAGGAACTCCTCCAGGGAACCTTGTGCTGTTTGCAGCCCTGCTGCTGGGGCTCACATGACCCCACTGCAGCTCCAGCTATTTCCAAGCTGGCCACTTACCATGGGAAATAGTTTTGTAAGCAAATAGGCTCCAAATGTCACAGGCTGAGCGCAAGGCCCCTGTTCCTACACAGGGCTGCGTGCGTGCATTGGGCAACGGGACAGGCACCCTTCTGCCATCCACCGGTGTTGGCAACCCTGCTGCCCTGATGCTGTTCCAGCTGGAGGCAGGTGGCTGTGGTGCGGCTGACTGCGCTGATACCCCCAGGCCTTGGGGGCAGCTCGGGCAGGCAGCTGGCTGGGTAGCCATGGAGACCAAGCTCTCTGCTGCGCTGGAGTAGGCGCCGCTGACCCTGGTTCCGCAGTTGGCGCAGAAACCTCCAGGCGCTGGGCACCGGGTCTGTGGCTCGCTGTTTACGAGGCAGCACCTGCCTGGCTCCCGGGCAGAGCGGGTCGCTGCCCCCTCCCTCCAAGCGGCTGCCTGGCACATTCCT